ACCCTTCAGCAATATGTCTCAAAGCCACTTATTTGACAAGGTGCAGAGGAATATAAGGGATACATTTAATAACGTAAATGTATTATTTATTAATAATATTCATTCTATATGTTTAACTAATATATAGGTGGCTATCCGAAGTAGTATTAAAAAAGCTGTAAATGAAACTAACAAATTTCATACGCAAGGTGCTTTACAAAGCCTGCCGAACGATGCCTTAAAACATATCAAAAACTGTTATAAATTTAGACTTGATCTTCTCATTTCAGACTCGAACTAAAATCAGGATATTAGAAGTATCCGGCTCTACCATTGAGCTAATGAGAATTAGTATATCTTATATAAGATACTCATATTTATAGAATACTTATAAAAAACTAGAGCTTACACGATAAAGTACTAAAGGGTAACTTTTAAGTAAATATTGTATAAATTCACTATACTGTAAATATAAAACGAATAAAATTAAGGCTGGCGAAGCCGCCAAGCTCACACTCGATATTTATTTCTAAAGTATAAGCTTTTTTGCTTATAAAAATAAATATAAAAATTAACCCTTATCTTGGAGTGATTCGAACACTCATTAGTAAATACCAAAAATTTATGACCCCCTTTATCTTGGCGTGATTCGAACACGCATTGTAGAACACCAAAAATTCTAGACTTACCCATTAGTCCACAAGATATTTGTGTGTATGTTATTATTATAATTAATAATAATAACATACACTTATTTTAAATAGTTCTAATATCACTTATTTATAGCCTAATCAGTCTTAGCTATTTTTTTTCTTAACATACACTAACATTGAGTTGAACTTGATAGGTTTCCCATCATTCAGTCTAACTCTAACCGTATCATGTGATATACCTAAATAAGTAGCACATGCATTTATAGACTCTAACTCCTTTAAATTATTTCCTTTATCGTCTAAAATTAATACTCTTATCGGAATACCTTTCTTTAATAATTTACCAGAAGATTTTATAACTATTTTTCCTTCAGCGTTTGGTTCGTAGTTTGAATCACTTTCCAACATTACCTTTAGATCACGTAGTAATAAATCTCGGCGAAGCCCAACTTGCAGTCTTATACCTGTAGATAATCTATTATTGTTCATTTGGTTTAGTAGACGATCAATCATTAACACTCCTTCTTTTGAGTGGTGTAGTCCTAATTCTTTTAATTTTAAAATAGATACCCAATCAATAAAGTCTATTTCTTTTTTACTTACCCATACCATTTTTTGAAAGAAAGGAACAAGCACTTGAGAAATAAACTCCGTTTTTGTTACATTTAAATTAATCATATCCGATTTATTATCCGTCTTGCTTTTGTAAAAACCCAGATTCACTACTTCATCAAAGTCGATACTTAAATTATTTAAGTAATTTTTTATTGCCTCCATTAACTTTAAATCCTTATAAGACTGAGCGATTGAAAAGCTTAAAAGTAAATTTTGTTTATTAACGCTTCAGGAACCATCTCCTTCCACAAATCCTCCTAACAGCCAGTAAGAATGTTAATTTTATGATTAGAAGTTCAATCCGTCCTCTTGGTATTCATTTCTGCTTTAAGAACCTCTACCTTGTTAAATATTTCCTCGGCTGAATTATCACTTCCTTCGATATATAAATTAAAAGCTTTCACTCAAGTATGGAAATTTAGTCTTTTACTAGAATTAAGTGAGTAATTGGTAAAAATTTCTATTAATTTCTTAACTTCAGATTGTTTTGAAACAATAAATCGACAAGATGTTTTAGATTTGTAAACCTTACCTATTCCTAAAGTATTTTGAATAAAAATTAGTACTTTTACATCATCAATGTGAAGTTTCATTTCAAAAGTAAATCTTCAAAACTTATCTCTTAAATGTGTTATAATGAAACAACCTTCAGCATCAGTGAACCCTCTAAATCAATCGTAGAAATTTTCTAAAATAAACTTATCTTTCCGACGAAGTCTTGGTGCGTAGTCTAACGCAGGGTGGGCAACGCACCCCACCTTAGGTAAAACTGATGTTAAATAAAATCGTTTACTTAGATAAGAAAAAGGTACAATCAGCGAACCTAACTTGGCGGACGGCAAACTAAAAAAACCAGTACAAGTTGGTGCTTTTGTTAAACCCCTTTGTCCACCGCTACTACATATTGTGAATTTTTTAATTTTTGTCATTTTATTAATTTATAAGGATAACTATCGTATTTATCACGTCCCTGTATCATTGTGTCGATATAACCACTAGCCTTTCTCCGCTTTGACACTGAATGACCACTCCATATTTCTTACTGCTATGTTGCGTACCTACTCGACCTTCGGTTATTTCAGCGCACTCATCAACATAGTAACCGACTTAAAATTTAAAAAGCAGTTCTCTCACTTCGGTAAAACCGTAATGAATAGAGATACGATTTTACTTACTCGTTATTCCGCTATGTAATAACAGATTCTGCCCTCACCGCACGACTAATCAGGATTCTGCCACTTAATAATCTCTTGACGAATTAATCGTAGTCTTTTCTAATTATAACATAGCATTGGTATTGATTTCAGTCAAGAGTTTCTACTTAGAATCGATTAATTTCGACACCTAAAAAGCTTATTCATGAATCTACAACATGTACTTATGAGTTCTTCTCCTTAGAATTCCATCATACATATCTTTCCCACATTACTACTGCGATTATTGCCTGCCTTCGGAGGAGGAACCCTTTCAGGCTGGCGAAGCCGCACTCGTACGCCGGTAAGTAGAATCAGAGGAATTAAGTAGTTTGGTCTTGTAACCCTCATACGCCAGCACATTTTGTTAACTAGAAGATAAAAGAACTTTCTAGCGAGTCAAATGTGACTGTTTGAGCAGTACTAGCAGCTTGTTTTGATAATGATTAGCGTCTCACAATTAACTAAGCCTTAGGAACGGCTATGCAACAAAAAGGTTGGCTTCGCTAGGAAGCAACATAATACACTAAAGTATAAAACAAAGATAAATTTCTATTGTTGAAAAACTAACAGTATTGGCGGCGTAGCCGCACGGATAATAAACATATCCCCCTTCTCAGAGAAGGTAAATAAATTCACTTAGGATTAAACCCAGAATAGATAATTACTCTAAGCTTATCTACTCTAATTCTTAAGATCCTCCCTTACGGGGATCCACTTTTTTATAAAAAAAAGTGGATATACTAGATTAATAGTTCAACTAATCGGCCTCCATATTTACACTAAAGGATCATCTAATATAGAAATCAAAAATATATAAATTCATTTCTTATTAATTTATGACATATGTCTAGTCCACAAGATATTTAGGTTGAATACTCCTGAATGTACTACAATAGAAGTATCCTCCTTCGGTGGTCTTGGACATACACTATTAAATAAAATAGTCCTGACATATGTAATAAAATAAATAGGGAGAACAGGACTTGAACCTGCAAGATCTCGCGATCAGATAAGCCTAAATTACCTAAGTTTACCAATTTCTTCATCTCCCTTATAAGAAGGGGTTTACAACCCCCTTTAATCCTGGCCTACCTGGCTAACCTGTCTTAGTATTGCCTTCGTGCGGCAAAGCCGCCGAAGTCAGCCCACTTCCTCCTACTTACCGACTTCTCCTACGGCGGCGAAGCCGCCGTCAGAGAAGTCAGTATGACAGACAGAGAAGTAGCTAGAGGATAAATTGCTCGAGATAAGACTTGAACTTACAACCAAAGCAGCTTCAATGCTCTGCTCTACCAATTGAGCTTCTCGAGCTAAATACACCCTAATATTATTCTAGTGTTACGTTTCCACTAAGAACAACTGTCTCATCCATCCACGGATGGATGAGACCCTTTATGCTCCGCCTATCGCATCAAGATATGTGTATCCTCCGTGTGTAACCTTCCTCCACTACCACACTATGCCTTCAGGTTGCGATCCTAAAGACTACCCCTAATTAAATATTACTTATATAGTGTCTATAAATGAATAAGAATTTTACCAAAAATCCCACTTACTAACAAATAAAGGATGGAGACACCAGGAATCGAACCTGGGATACTAATATGCAAAATTAGAGTTTTACCAAACTAGACTATATCCCCTAACCACACCCGTCCTATAAATTTAGCCTGACGAATTATGAGTAGCTAAAAAGCTTGCTGGCGCCAGCTAGTATGCTATATTTTTTAAGTGGTTTCTCCGTAAAAGAAAGCCCTCGGAGAAACTTCTTAAAAAGTTTCGCCTTAAATAAAGAAGAAGGTATACCTCTAGCTCCAAGATAAGAGTCCTACTTGTTTATTTCGAGCTCGCGCCTAAATTAAGAACCAGCTGTTAATCATAAAAAAAATAGGCGGGCGTGCCCCGTAAAAAACTAGCCTTCTTAGCGAAACCAGCTTAAAAATAAAATTACTATAATAATAATTATATCTGAGAGGTGACTTGAACACCTACGATATTAAATCAGAGCATTTTAAGTGCCCACTGTCTACCAATTCCAGCACTCAGATTAAAAATTGAGAGGGATGCCCTCAAAATTATTAAACCTAATATGTTTAATAATAAAGTTATTTATTTAAATATAGTATGCAAATAACTTTTTATTACTTTCTTATATATTTATACTTATATGAAGGCGCAAGCTCATATTGTCAACTAACAAAATATTAAGAGCGAGCTTGCTATATTTTTGAAAAAAATAAAGCAAATTAGGAATTGTATAAGGAACTTACAACAAAGTCCCCCTCTTATGCGGGTAAAGGATTCGCACCTTTAATTTTTGGGCATGAGCCAAATATGTTAACTGTTACATCAACCCGCACTATAAGGCTAAAGTGAGTTGAACACTTATAAAAACTGTTATGAGCAGTACACTTTACCAATTAAGTTATAGCCTCTTTAGGGAGATAATCGAGTTTGCCCTACCAGACGCACCTAATCATAGAGATAACAAAGTCGACCCGCATAACTCGAAAAATGCGAAATGTCACTCAAAGTACCGTAGGAACTATCTCCCTTGTAGACTAGGCGGGATTCGAACCCGCGATCCCAGCATTGAAAGAGCTGTGTCATACCACTTGACTACTAATCCAGTCCTTCGGCTGAAAAAGCTTTCGGTCGGAATTGAACCAACTAACACCCTGTATCCAAAAACTTCGTCACCGAAAGCAAGAAAAAAATATATTTTTTTTCGTGCTAGCACTTATCCTAATACCTAAAAAGTATAAAGCCGGGATATAGCGGGGCGCAAGCTCTAGTTGCCAAAAAGTCGTCCAACCCTCTATAGTTGATAATAGTTAGAACCATCTAACCTCATTTCTCCGTGCTTGCCAGTCTGACTGGCATACTTCGTCAGCTAGAAGTACTCCTAATCCTGAACTTCTATATCCCGAACTTCGTTCGGGATCAGGCTAATAAAAAAATATACATTTTTTTTATATAGCTCGTATAGGGGGGGGGGGGGCCAGGGCGGAGAAGAAGTTGCCGTAGCCCAGTGGGGGTATTGCACCCCCTTCTATTGATTACAAAACAATTGCATTACTATTTATGCTAACCAGGCGTATGAAAATGTAATATATATAAACTAAACAAGTATTTTATAAAATTAGTACTTCATTCCTCAAAATCTCTTGATTCTTACAAAAAAAGCCTATATATAGTATTCGTAATGTTATATTACGTATATTTAAGAAATATCTTAAGGTAAGCTTCGTGCCTATATGCTTTCAGCACTTATCTTGGACTAACTTAGCTTTCCTGCCGTGCCTATACTATTTATTTACCTAAGTGAAAGTAACATCCCTGTATAAAGAGGTTTTAAACCTATACATAAATTAATATTGGGCGTATAAACAACAGGTAAACCAGAGGTTAATAAAGTGTACCCTGGTATTACCCAGAATAACTTAATTCCCCACGTTCCTTTCGTACTAGGTTATTCCTTATTTTATTCTAATTCCCTCTAGAAGATAGAAACCATACTGTCTCACGACGTATTTAACCCAGCTCATGTAACTTTTTAATCGACGAACAGTCGTACCCTACATAGTTCCTGCCACGGCAATCGTAATTTTCTATGATGATATATCGAGAGTACTAATTTTTATACATCATCGAAAACTATGATCTAAAAGATTTATCTTATCAATATCCAGTAATAAATTCTAAAATCCAGCATTTAATTGGATCTAACGCTATTCATACCAGATTTTATCAATTTAATATTATCTACACCTTCAGTAGTTAAATGCTTATTCTCTTTCATGAGTTCCGCTATTCTAACGAAATCTTGAAAGTCTTGGTTTTTAACACCATGTATTAGATTATTTTGATAAAATGGAATAATTTTTTCAATAATATTAGATAAGCTAACCACTCGATAAACATAAGTTTCTCGATTTAAGTATACGCTACCACAATTAAAGAATTTAGCAATATCCTTCATTAACTGCTCATCTCTCATATGTTGAGTTAGATTAAACTCCAATTGCACTTTTGTACCTAAAATTCTACCTGGGCAATTAGGAGTTCTAACTAAAAAACTACCTTCGGCTGACGTAAACCCAGCTAGCCACTCTGAGTCTAAAATTTTCGAAGAGGCTGAAATAGCCTCCTTCTCAACTAGACATAAATCAGAAAAAGCTGCTTTCAATTCCTCAGATAAGAATCCTGTGTTCAAGACTCCTTTCAATGCAACAATTTTCTGCAATCCTTCTTGAGTAAGATGAGATTTGTTTTCTATTAATTCAAGTACAGTTTTAAAGATTTGATAATCTGCTTTCTTTTTAGTAAGAAGCGGATATTTATCAAAAAATTCAACTAAAACTTTACGATCTTTAACAGAATTAACATAAAATTGTACACCATTAACACCTTGAGCGGATATTCCTCCCACACCTAAACAACTACGTATACTTTCTAATAAACCTCGATCTTTTTTATGTAAACCTATACTAAATTTAGGTTTAACTTGTCAACCCAATTTATATGATTTATCTTTAACCAAGGTTACAGAGAAACAACCCTCTCCATCTACAAAACCAGTAACAAATGAAGGAGAAAGCGAATAAGCTTTATTCTTCATTGAACTAGAAGATAGATAGTTGGCTGACGTAGAGAAAGAGCAAGAAGAAATATAACCCAAAAGTCCTATATGGGAATTTGCGCCACGAACAACTCCAAAGTTAGTATGAAATGTTTTGAATGTTGCGAATTTATTTATTGACTTAGAAGGGATTCTAGTTTGATAATTTCTTTCGAAACCCATTAGAGTACACCTTAATACTGAAATAATATTTTCAGTACAACCACCGTCTACTCGTTGCTCTTTTACAATAGCGAATATTGATTTAATACTATTCTTGGCTGTCTCTCAAATTAAACTAGTACCCACTATTGACTTAGATCCGCGATAGCCTATTTCACTTTCGATCATCTTCTTGCTTATTACCATACCTGAGTAATTACTTCAGCCACTCATATATTTTCATATATGGCTTGGTACAAAAAGCTTTAAGGCGTCCCCGGAGTTTGATGATTTACGAGACACTAAATGTGGATTCCTACACCACAAAGCATCCATGAGGATAAGTTAAGCCGACATCGAGGTGCCAAACCGCGCACTCATTTTGTACACTCTTGCGCAAATTAGCCTGTTCAAATTGTTATCATTAGATTCGGTGGCTTCTAAAGAAGCCACCGAATATTTCCATTTTTTACAAAATGGTTCAGACTATGTATTCACTTTTTTATTATATATAACACGCCCACATTTAAACTACCTACCAACCTACTGTGTAATATCTGGGCGAAGCGCCCCTCCGGTAGCTCCTCCGGAGCGCCCGGAGGGCTATTGACTAAAAAAAAATTAAGAATAGGTGTGCTAGCTCTGCTGACTGGCCATATCCCGAACTTCGTTCGGGATCAGGAGTACTTGGTCGTCAGTATGCCTAAAAATTCTACTTTACTGCTAAAGTAGAATAAGATTTTCCGCTCATTCATCCTTTCACAGCAAAGGCTCCTACTCTACGTTTAGATGCAAAAATAGAATACCCTACGTTAGGATTAATATGACCTCTATTCTTTCGAACTGATAACCCTTTAAAAGAAGAATCGATATTTTTTAAACCCTTTTCAACGTAGTTTATAAACACTACGATCGGCTCTATAACGTTTCGTTAACCTTCCTTTTACTTCCATTCTAATTCCTGCCATGTTTTTATATTTAATAGAATTAAATACCATATCATACAACCCGGCTTCGCCACGCAAGCTCCCCGGCCGATCAATAGATCCCTTTAATATATCTTTAGAACCAGTTAAAGCTCGTTGTGGTAATAATTTATCATTAACACTAATATATATTTTATTTAATAGTTTATCTAAATTAAGACGCGAGCTCTTAGTACTTAAAATATTTCTTATATTAAGAGTTTTATATTTATTTTCTACTAACTTAAGACTTACATTGTTATCCAATCTACCTGTTTCCTGGATTCTGTTCAAGTAAGGTAAGTTAGCTTTATTTAACATAATGTTCATTATTCTTACAACTTTAGCATTTCTTTTCTTAATTTTTAATGTAGATATTTCTGTAAATAAATCTGTATTAAAAACTATATTTTTTAAATTAACAATATTAAATTCTATTTCTTTATTATAAAGCTTTCTTATAATATTACTTAATCCATATAATAATTTATCTTCAAATTTATACTTATTAAGATTTAATCTAAATTTATATTTTCTAATTAAAGAAAGTTCTTTCTTAAAAATCAATTTTATTCATTTATTTGCTTGTTCTTTTGCCTTGCTTTTACTTGTTTTTAAAGTAGAATAATAAGCATAAAAATCTTGAAGTAGATTTCTATTTTTTAATATCGCAAAAATCATATTAAATTTAAAAAAAATATTTTCTATCTTTAATAAACAGTTTTTTCGTTGAACAAATTTAATTATCTTTTTAGTTAATTTAGTTAAATTTTTGATTTTTTTTAATAAAGCAAACTTTTCTCTATTAAAAGCATATAAAGTTATAATAGCTTTAGAGTTAGTATGTTTAATTTCGGGTCTAGCTAAAAAAATTTTATTAAAAGATAAACGTCTTCTTTTAGGACGAATATAATCATATTTAAGAAATTGATGATTAAAAAACATATTAAAATAGCTTTTTATTATTTTATAAATATTTATATCATATACAGCAAAATTCTTGATTAAATTGCTATTATAATGGTAAACACTATTTCTTCATTCTTTAGATCATGCAGGAAAGTATTGCATCTTTCCTACATCACCCATTATTCTATTAAATGGTCTCAATTTAGAATTATTCTTTACATTTGTTTTTAAAATTGTAGTCCCTTCTCTTCAGTCTGATACCGATCCCGAACTTCGTTCGGGATACGAAGGCGAATATTTGAGTGATAGGGGACCAACGTAGCGAGCATTTTCTAATATATTTTTATTTTTTTTCATTGTTTTCATTTTAGTAATATTTGAGGGCCTCCGGCCTCTTATTTCATTTTTCTTTTGTTTTTGAACATATATAATAAAAAAGTGTTGGGTTTCAAGATAGGATTATTGTTAGCATTACTCACCTATTAGTCGTTGAACGTTTTTATCTTTAAATACGAGCTATATAAAAAAAAATGTATATTTTTTTATTAGCCGCCATACACCCAAAGGGGTCAAGTCGCTAAGATAAATTTCGCTTCAAATTTACTTATACTGTATCCTGACTTCGTCAGGATAGAGGGGATTAGGCGTATAAAAAAAAATTTTTTTTTATCTGCCTCCGTATACTGACTTCGTAGTCAGAAGTCCCGGATCCGGCTAATCCTTTAATATAAGTAATCTTTGAAATTAACCCAATATTATTCTTAATCGTTTTCTTGCTAGTCTTTATCTCTTATCTATTATTCCTATTCCTCCTATGCATACTTCTATACTACTGGATCCCGAACTTCGTTCGGGATCAGTAGGAGAAGTAGAGCAGCTGAGGATAGCTATTAAATCAGCCTGCCTTCGTACGAAGGCAGGAAAAAAATAAAAAATATATTTTTTATTTTTTCCCCCTCAGACCCAGGACCAAGGTCCTCTGGGGGCGCAAGCTCGATCCTTCGGATACGAAGAGTGAATGCTTCCTATAAAGTCGAGCTTGCTGTATAAAAAAAAATATATTTTTTTTTATCGTCCCGAACTTCGTTCGGGACTTAGCAAGATAGAAGTAGACGAGAACAAGAAAAAAAATTAAAGGACAAACATCCCTAGCGTAGCTTTTCCAATAATCCAAGACCTTTCCTTAATGTGTCTTGTGATCCTATGCCCCGCTTACGCGACTGTAAGATTTGTTGTGAATCAAACAGTAAAGCAAGATTAAGCCGTTAAACTTGATAATTAGTTTACATTATTATTAAAAACACTGTAAAGTAGAAACTAATAACTAGAAAAAGTGTTATATTGCATAACACTTTTTTGACTAAAGCTAATTTCTCCATAGCTAAAATCTTACCCTTTTAATAATATGTACGCCCTTATACGTCTCGCACTAGCAAAGGA